GGGCATGCAAACAATTTCCTCGTGAACAATGTAGCAAGACCTCTTGTCGATCGACTGACTTTGAAGTTTACAGGAGAAATTGTGCAAGACGCTGATGGTTATGATTTATTCAAGCTTTGTGAGGACCTCTTCTTGACTTAGAATGAAATGGCAAACATGTTCAGAGAAGGTATTCAGTCTGAAGATCTTTCGAAAATCAGATGCAACGCTGGAGATAAGAAGGCTTCGGGCGTTGATAAAGAAAATAAGCTCAATGCAGTTTATGGGAAAATGTACAGGATTCCATTGGATCATGATATTTTGAAGGATCATGGAGTCTTTTTTCCGAGAGCTCTTTCTGATGAGCTTCTCTTCGAGCTCAGGCTTGCACCTGCTGGTAGTGTTGTGAAGGGATCCGACCCAACAAAACTTTATTATAAATTGACTGACATCCAGCTTGAGTATGAAGTCATTCACAGCCAAAAACTCGCTGATGAAGCCCTTTCTAACTACAAAAATGGAAAGAGATTCATGTACGAGCATATCACTCATCTCAAGACAATCTCAATAGATAAAGGTTCCGACACAATCATCAATGAGAGCATCAATGTTCCAAGGAGGTCTATGAAGGGGCTTCTTCTTCTCTTTTATGAGACATACACAGCAGGAACAAGNTACAGGATTCCATTGGATCATGATATTTTGAAAGATCATGGAGCCTTTTTTCCGAGAGCTCTTTCTGATGAGCTTCTCTTCGAGCTCAGGCTTGCACCTGCTGGTAGTGTTGTGAAGGGATCCGACCCAACAAAACTTTATTATAAATTGACTGACATCCAGCTTGAGTATGAAGTCATTCACAGCCAAAAACTCGCTGATGAAGCCCTTTCTAACTACAAAAATGGAAAGAGATTCATGTACGAGCATATCACTCATCTCAAGACAATCTCAATAGATAAAGGTTCCGACACAATCATCAATGAGAGCATCAATGTTCCAAGGAGGTCTATGAAGGGGCTTCTTCTTCTCTTTTATGAGACATACACAGCAGGAACAAGAAATAGTGAAAAGACGTTTAATCCCAACATCACTGATGTTAAGCTGACTGTTGATGGTATTCCAAATAAGATTTACAGCCAAGGAATGCAGGCAAGAGATATGTGGGAAGAAGTCTTTAGAAGATTTGGAAAGGAGAACAGCGCGATGAATGCAACAGACTTTTATGCTGGAGACAGATTCGGTCTCTTTATCGATCTTAGAAGCATGAGAGATTGATCTTCACGGTTCAGGATTGAGATTGGTGAATACAAAAGATGGAGTTCATCTTGCAATTAACAGGAAAGGATCGGGTTCAGGAAATGTTAAATGTAACATCTTCATTCTTTCTGATGCTCAGCTCAACATCGTCAACGGAGAGCTTGAAAGTGTGACCTATTAATAACGCGATCATGAGTTTTTTGGGATTATCTCTGAGATGTTGTCATTAGTTTTTTCTGATGGTTCAAACGCATTCTGAGATTGTCTTGAAAATCAGTGTAATCTCAAAATTTTTCAATTTTGCTTTGATTTTTGAAAGAAAAACTGCGCCAATCATTTTGCCTTAAAATCATCGTTGTCCCTTTTCAAGTAAGAATAAAATAATTTTTTCAAAATTACCTTGAAAACATGGTTGTTTTGACACATTAAATTGCCTTGTTTTTAAGGCAATTGAATTTTTTCAAAACTGCCCTGTTTTTTCAGGCAATTTTGATAAATGTGCCAGAAGCCCCCTTTTCCTACTACTAAAGCATTTGATACAGTCAATTATGAAATACTTCTGGATAAACTAACTTTTTATGGCCCGGCTGACCAGCTATTTGTCCCACAGACAGCAGTGCATTGTGGTCCATGACCATACCTCTTCATATAATCCGGTCGTTTGTGGGGTTCCCCAGGGTTCAGTTCTTGGACCTTTACTTTTTCTTTTAAACATCAATGATCTTTTTCATGTCTCCAACCTCTTGTCTATCATTCTCTTTGCTGATGATGCAAATATCTTTCTTCGTCATAATGACCTGGCTACCTTACCAGCCATTCTCAATGTAGAGCTCTCTCATGTTTCTTCTTGGTTTAATGCTAACAAACTCACTGTTCATCCCACCAAGTCTAAATTCATCATTTTTCACCCTCGACGTAAACAAATTAAAACCTCAGATATAAACATACTTATAAACAATCCTCTCATCAAGCGTGTGCAGGAAGACAAATTTCTCAGGATTATCATTCATGAAAATTTATCTTGGAAACCGCATATCTCTGCTGTCTATGATAAAGTCTCTAAAGTAATAGGAGTCTTGTGCAAGTCAAGGCGATACTTACCTTTGAATACTTTGTAAACCTTATATAATTCTCTTTTCTTACCTTACATAAATTATGGTAGTTTAATATGGGCATATACTTCTGCTTCTAACCTTAAACTTCTTTATGTACTTCAAAAGAGAGCCGTTTGTATAATTCCTTTTTCTATTCCGCGCACATCCTCTAAACCCCTTTTTTCTAAGCATAATATTCTTTCACTTTACTCTATTTATAAATTCCATGTTGCCTGTTTTGTATTCTCACATTTTAATAACCTTTTACCTGCTCCTGTTTCCTCGATGCTTCATTTTAATTCTGAATATCACAATTATTTGACTCGTTTACGTTTTAACCTGCATAAAACCTGTCATAAGTATCAATTTGCTATCACTTGGCAAGCTCCTATTATTTGGAATGATATTCCGTTATCTGTGCGCAATAACCTCACAGTAAGCAACTATAAAAAATCTTAAAGACTGTATTTTTCTCTGAGTAGTTAATTAGCCTACGCATATAATCTGCATACCTCATGGACTATATTAGGTGTATTTGTTTGTATTTGTTTGTGTGGTTTATAGGAATTTATTACTAGTCGTTTAAATATTTAAACTAGTTGCCTAGTATTGTATCTCAATTGTTAGTTTTTTTTTTCTGACTGACCTTTTCTTTCTTGGTTTAATTGTATTGTAATTATTTTAGTTAAAGCTTTCTTCTACTCTTGTAAATTCTTCACGTCTTTTGCTGACCTTAGGCCATTTAAGCCCCCGGCTTTGGCTGTTCTTGTGTATTTTTTTCTTCCAATGCGTGAATAGCAGGAATAAATAAATAAAATAAATGAGTTGATTATGTAAATTGGACACCATAAAGAGTTTCTAAAGCTAAGGTTTCAAGCGTTAGCCCCTCGTAAGAGCGAAGGCTAAGACCTAATCAGTTAACCGCACATACATTTGGTTGTTCATTGAAGTGTGTATTCATCGGTTACTGAAGGGTTAGTTCAAGTTTTTCAAACGTCTTCCTTTATAAAACACAACACACGGGTTGTAGTCAACCTTTACTCTTAAACCAACCAACCGAGCGAAGAAGACCACGTTGAGCAAATATTTAAACTCTATTTGTCCCGCGTGATAGCAACGGTCCAAATTTCCCAGAAAGTGCGTTAATGTGGGCCAAAGCGTCCACCTTCTCCCCTCCCTCCCCCCCATCCCAGTCTATTGGGGGCTTTCTCTGCGGCTTATGTTAGAAGGCTGATAGTTTCGAAAGAAACTGTTTGGGGCTGCGTCGGTGGGAGTAACGAAATAATTTGGATATATCAACAAAGTTGAAATGGTAAATTGGCCACCGTAATGATTACAAAAGCTGACGTTTCGAGCGTTAGCCCTTCGTCGGAGCGAATAGAGGAATTGTGGGTTGTGTGTGCTTTTAAAGGCAGAAAATGGAGCTACGTTATTGGTGGGTGCATGGCAACGAGAAAAACATGAATAAATTAGTGGAATGAAAAGCGTTCATTGATCCCTGTGGGATTTAGACTGCCGGTTTGAAAGATGAGCTTTTGTTCAAGATTTTTACGGCTTTCCGTGCCACCTAAGTGCAAGGAAAGACCGCAGATTGCCATATGTTG